GGCAAGGGTGACAGCGTCGATACTGGTGCCGTCGGATCCCAGCACCCTGTTCCCGAGAACATTCCCCATCTCTCGAGCCCTGTCAACAACTCCTCATCCTCCCTCAACGGCAACAAGCACCACGGCAGCATCGCCGCGGGTGCCCACGCCGGCAGCCCCGTCAAGGAGGCGAGCTTCCTCAACAGAGAGACCAGCGCTGAAGAGGCCGAGCTTAAGGGTCAGGAAAACACCTCTCCAGTCGACGGAGCCGCAAAGACCGAGGCTATCCCTATCCGGAGATGAGGGTCCTGCAGGACCTTTTCGTCTATACTCTCTCCCTTGTCCCAAGTTTCGTAAGGGTGTTGTTGAAACTACACGGCGGCAAATTGGGTTGTTTCACGGGGCCGGTTTTTACTACGATGTTATGATGCTGTGTTGATGTTTTCACGGGTCTCCTAGGCGTTAGAATGGGGTTGGGAACCAAGTACAAATGGTTGTTGAATGGACTGAGACGCTTGTCTCTGAATTTGTCTGCTGTGGAAGAACTTGCGGATTACGACGCTCTCAAGGTCGCGCCACTGGATATCCTGTCCGCGATGTACGGCACTATTGCAAAGACTGAAGCATTTCCGTACAAGCTTTTTTTATTTAGGACTGGAGGAGGATGAAAGAACGACAGGCATATGGAGGCAACTAAATCGAGACCCCCTTCGTCTTATCCGTATGCGCACATGGCCGTACACGCGTTGTTCGAACTCCTCCACTCAGCCCAGAAGAGGTTCGAGCGCGTAAATGCGTTTCTTACATGTGACGGCCTTGTTGGTTCTTGTGGACGCTCGCGTCTCCTCTTCCGAGCACCATCTCAGAACGACCCTCGTCTACGGACCTATGGGGACCTTCTATCACTTGCACGGCTCAAGGATTAGCAGTCGGCTCGATCCGTGCAATTAGTATCACAAAAATGCTCACAGCTTTCAATATCGAAATGGAGATGTTGCGGGGACCCAATCTGTTGATGAGCAATAAGACACTTCTTTTGATGCCATACGCCGTTCCATATCCCAGTAACCTTCCTCCCAGTGGACAATCTCTATAGGTGCCCTTTTTCATAGATCCAGACCCTTGATCGCCATATCCTTGGCGCCTTCAAAAGTCTTGTTTCCTCCAATGAATCCAGCCGCGTGGACAAAGACGCAGCCGGGGATGCCAGAGATGCCGTCCAGTTCCGCATCTCTGAATCCGCGCCACGCCTCAGGCAAGGGCTTGCGGCTCTCGAAAGAGTCCTTGGTGACGGGAACCGCCTGCACACGCCACTTGGCATCAGGAGTAGGCTTCTCGGGGTACAGAACGTACACCACCGAGGGGTTGCCTCCCTCAAGGGAGTAGAGGTGGTCCTTCCAGGGTGCGCTCTGGCCCTCGAGGACGAGTACGCGGCCCTGGGGGTCGTACTGGGTGCGCTTCTCGAAGGCGGCCTGCACGACGGCGCGGGCGGGAAGCCAGGCCTTGGTGTAGTAGTCCAGGTCGGCGTCAAACTCCTCGCCGATGCGGCGGCTGGCCTTGACGAAGCGCTCGTCCTCGAGCTTCTGGGCCTCGACAGGGTCAGAGGGGACCGGGTCGTTCCAGTTGGCGTTCAGGCGGCCGACGACGGAACCGAGGGTGAAGGAGCCCTCGCTGAAGCGCTTCTCGAGACCGGCGGCGGCGACGGCCTTGGGGTCGTAGACGGAGATGCCGTTGTCGTGGGCGTCCAGGGCCTCGACGAAGCTCTCGTACAGCTTGTTCCACAGCAGCTCGACTTCGGCGCTGTCCTCGGCTACGGGGGTCTCGGCGCCCTCGCTGAGCGTCTGGGCGATGATGGCCTTGCCAAAGTGCATAAAGACGAGGCCGGCGCTGGAGAGCTTGGTGTTCTTGCCGGGGAAGGTGGTGACGAAGCCGCGCTGGTGGTGGTCGTAGCGCTTCTTGCCGTCGTCGTACTCGCCGCCGACGTCGACAACAGTGTGGCAGGTTTCGAGGAGCTTGGGATCGCGAGTGCGGATCAGCTGGGAGTCACGGTAGGTGGGCAGCTTGCGCAGCATGTGCACCGCGAGGGCCTCATCGGCGTGGAAGTGGCCATTGTGGGTGCCGATGGTGACGGGTGACATCTTGAGTCTCTTTGCTGCGTTTTCGGCCATTCGTAGAGGTTTGAAGAAGCGGAACATACAATTGAGGGACGGGAACGAATAATTACGAGATTTGAAATAAAAAAACGTTTGTGGGAACTGCAGTTCAATGATTTTCGACAAGTCTCTCTCTCACTGGTGAAGGAAGAATTGGAGAGTTTGAGATGTGATAGTTACACCCCACTTTGACGCACAAGGCCCACACCCTCTCTCTCTCACCTTGGGAGGTCGCTTATCTGAACTCCCCGCGTGGCTCTAATCTTGACGCTTTTCCCAAGCTCTCACTGGAGAGAAGTGGCCAGGAACGTGCATCGTAGCCTCGTCGTCGCCCTGCATCCGCGCGCCCGTGGAAACTCCATATTCAACCAACAGTCAGCCGTAAATGTCATCAATACCAACCCCAAATCTTTCCCATCTCCAATGGTAGAATCCATTCGCCATCCGCCATCTACCGTCAACAGCCTCTTTCTTCAATCGATCGATACAATCGTCGAATCACGACTAATTGCTTCCTCCTACAACTAACGAAAACTCTCCCGTGTCGCCCGCGCCCATGCCATCCGCGATGAGCGACGCCAACGGCACCGTCGCCACCCGCGACGTCAAGGCCGAAGGTCAAGAAACCGAAGATGAGGAAAATGGAGAGGGAAAGGCGACATACAAGTCATGGAAGAAGAAGTATCGCAAGATGCGCATCACATTCGATCAGAAGATGCACGACTGCGAGGAATTGCACCGTCAAGAGTCCCTAGCGCTTGCCACTGCGAAGCGCATCGCCATCGAGAACGAGTGAGTATTTCCTGGCGTCTATCAACTGTTATGTTCCACGTGAGTTATTGGTGAACGGTTGCTAATCCTCTGTGCCAGTCGCATACTCGACCTGCTCCTAGACATGAACTCCTCGGCTCAGCTGCCCTTCGACAAGCGCTTCGATCTCTCCCAAGACCCGCCCGAAGATACATCGTTTCCACCTCTTGATGTCGACACGTCTGAGAAGAAGTCCGATGAACCTACCAAGTCGTTGGACACACTCCTTAAGGAGGTCCCGCATTATACCTACTCCCAAGCAAAGGAGCAGGATCCCACCGTCGTGGCCGATATGGAACCGTTCTCCGGCGAGCCTCATCCTCCTTCGTTCCTGACGACCGATGATATTGATGACTACATCCACGACGTGGACCGACGCATCGACTCCGATAATCTGCTTCCAACACTGGCCCCTGTCGCCCGCAGCAACGCTCCTCTCCCGGAGACCAACCCGCACGCCCTCTCCCAAACGATCGCGATGAAGAATCCTACGAGCGTCTACAATTGGCTCCGTAAGCACGCGCCAAAGACCTTCCTACAGGATGCCGAGAACGCCGCACCCGCCGGAGACGAAGAAGCAGCCGAGGCACCTCCGACAGACGGCCGGAGACGACGCGGCGGAGGCGCCTCAAGGGGCGAGACCCGGGGCGGTCGCGGATCGCGAGGCGGTAAGCGCGCCTCGCTCGCAGCCGTACGAGCCGAGAAAGCTGCCCAGCGAGCCGCAGAGAAGGCAGCCGCGGCGATGGAAAGGGCGGCCGCCCTGCGCCGTGACGCCGATAGCTACGACCACAGCATGGAGGAGGCCGACTCGGACGGACCCAGCTTCGCGACGCCGGCCACGGGTCGCGGCAAGAGAAAGCGCGCTGGTAGAGATGACGACGACGGGTATCGACCCCGGGGCTCGAGCAGCAGGCCGACCAAGAAGAAGCGCAAGAGCGAGAGCGCTGACGTGAACACTCCGACCGTATCTAAGAGAGGTCGTAAGAGCGAGCTCTCCCGCGACAGAGACGACTAGAAGCCGCGTCGACGCAGATTACCAAGTTATTCGTCAGATGACTGACTTGTTTTTTTTTGGGAAGCCACTCGATATGTCACGAGCAATCGGGCTAGATAGTATGCTTGATTGAGGTCACGATGGGGAGGCATCAGCTCAACTTCTCTTTGGCACTGTTTGTTGCGGCTCTGGCTGGGTAGCCAGGAGTCAAATCAACACAGAAAACCTTTTTTTTCCTAGACTTGTACACTACATCATGCATCGATGGATTCTCTTATTTTCCTTTGAAATTGTTGTTCTTTCCCACGCCCCATGTGGTGCGCGGTCTCATGAGCAATGTACGTGGGGTGGGCTCAAAAGAGAGACAGGGGGAGCAGAAAGACAGTGAGGGCGAGACGGGAGAGCTAGGGTGCTGAAGCTCAAGGAAACGGCGTAACGGAAGATTTCTTGACCGGGTCCAGATTGGGATGGGCAAAATTAGGGATTGGCAAATGGGACATTTTATTTTCTTCCTTTGTTTCTTCACATGGGCATAACTTCAAATCTCCGTGGTCAAACAAGCAAGTGGACGTATTGTGTTTCTGTGTTGTGAATATGACATTCGGTATTTACCGACTGTAGCCTATCACTATGTACAGACAAATCCAAACCCCCGGTATGCCTTATGTCCATGTTCCCTCTTCGTGACGTTTTTTCTGTGTCTCGCGCAAGGGGAAAGATATGCTCAAACCAGATGATATCAAGTTGCCCGAAACAGAAACCAGAAAGAACAGAGAGAGAGAGAGCCAACGGAAAATACAGATAGATGACCCATCATGCTTCTGCTGCTTCGATATGCAAGAGAGAGAAAACAAGATTCGCATGTTCACGCAGTTTAGATACAGAGGGCCCTCTTCTCCGAGCACGAGAAGAGGGGGGCCTCGTAGATTGTTGATCCTTCCACCTCCCTTCTTACGTCTCGAGGGGTTCGTCTATCCCATAGGAAGCCGGCTTTCGCCGCCCCCTTCTACAGAATGTAGCGTTTTCTGAAGTCTACAAGGCCGAAGGGCGGTTGTGGTTTTGAACAACGGCGGGCCCGCATTTCTTTCTTTGTTTTTGATTTACAACTTCTCCTTGAGGATGTTCTTCATGCGGCGCTCGACGGCGTTGAGGTACTCGTTGGTGGTGACGTAGTCAGAGCGGGCAGTCTTGCCGCAGGCGAGGGCCAGGTCCTTGGTCATGATGCCGTCAACATCGACGGTGTCAATGCAGGCCTTCTCGAGGGACTCGGCAAAGGCGATGACCTCGGGGGTCTCGTCGAGCTTGCCGCGCTGGATGAGACCGCGGGTCCAGGCGAAGATGGAGGCGATGGGGTTGGTAGAGGTCTCGTTGCCCTTCTGGTGCTCGCGGTAGTGGCGGGTGACGGTGCCGTGGGCGGCCTCGGACTCGAAGGTCTTGCCGTCGGGGGTGATGAGGACCGAGGTCATGAGACCGAGGGAGCCGAAGCCCTGGGCGACGATGTCGGACTGGACGTCGCCGTCGTAGTTCTTGAGGGCCATAATGTAGCCGCCGGAGGACTTGACCATCTGGGCAACCATGTCGTCAATGAGACGGTGCTCGTACCAGATGCCAGCGGCCTCGAACTCGGCCTTGTACTTGGTCTCGTAGAGCTCCTGGAAGATGTCCTTGAAGCGGCCGTCATACTTCTTGAGGATGGTGTTCTTGGTGCTCATGTACAGGGGCAGCTTCTTGGCGAGGGCGAGCTTGAAGGAAGCGTGGGCGAAGCCGGTGATGGACTCGTCCGTGTTGTACTGGGTCTGAGCGACGCCGCCACCGTTCTTGAACTTGTAGACCTCGATCTCCTGGGGCTCGCCGCCCTCGGGGGTGTAGACCATCTTGAGGGTGCCGTTGCCGGGGAGAACGGCATCCTTGGCGCGGTACTGGTCGCCGAAGGCGTGGCGGCCGATAATGATGGGCTTCTTCCAGCCGGGCACCAGGCGGGGAACGCGGGGGATGACGATGGGCTCGCGGAAGACGGTACCGCCGAGGTGGTTACGGATGGTGCCGTTGGGGGAGAGCCACACTGTTGGGAGGGAAGGGAAGCCATTGAGTTAGTCCATGTTCTTTGTAGTGCTAGGTAGGGTTGCTTCGGGGTGCTTTGGGAGGAACTGTGCATGTCCAGAGGGACGTGTAGAGAGGAGACCATATGCATGCGCCGGCGCTGCATACCCGGGGTGCGGGGAGCGGGAGAATGGGACAAGTCTCTCGGCGCGGAAGCTACAAGCACGGAGGTTTTGACAAGTCCAAATGCCGGTGGGACACTCTGGAGCGGGCACGGAACGGTACCGGAAGGGAGGGGGAAGTAGACGGTGGAAAAGACACCCAATGCACGTCACTTACTCTGCTTAAGCTTGAACTCCTCCACGCGCTGCTCATCGGGAGTGATGGTGGCGCACTTGACACCGACCGAGTACTTCTTGATGGCCTCGGCGGCGTCGAGGGTGACCTTGTCGTTGGTCTCGTCACGGTAAGGCAGGCCGAGATCGTAGTACTTGAGGTCGATGTCGAGGTAGGGGTGAATGAACTTGTCCTTGATGGTCTGCCAGATGATGCGGGTCATCTCGTCGCCGTCGAGCTCGACGACAGGGTTCTTGACCTTGATCTTGGCGGCGGCGGCCATTGTGCGGGCAAAGTTGAAGGAGGCGGAGGAGGAGAAGGAGGCGGAAGACTGGGGGACGATGAAGGAGGGCCGGAGGGCAAAGGTTGCGGGACGGCGGAGGAAGCGTGCTGCGTTCATGATGGGCGGTTTGTGAGGCGACGGCGCGCGGGAGGATTTAAGATTTGAAGGATTGTTTTCGGCTTTTCGGTCGGGATGGCGGCGGCGGGGGAGCTTCTTGGGCCGCGGTTACTAGGAGGAGCCGGTTCGTGTGATCCGGTAGTGAGCTTCGGGTGGTGGCGGCGGCGGCGGCAGAAGCAGATGCAACGGCACGATGACTGGCTTGCTGCAGGCTGTCAAGAGTGCAGAATGTACGAGCGGATGAGGCGCTTGACAGCTAAGCTACGAACAAGGTGCTGACGATCGCGAAGCTACGAGGGGGCCACTAAGGATGCTGTTTGGATTTTTGGAGAAGGAGGAGAAGGGTGGAAGGTTTGCTTGCAAAGGGCAGACAGCAAAACCGCGAAGGAAGATTGGTTTGGGTGGGAGGAGGGAAAAGAGGTAAGATGGCCGGTTGCAATTGAGACCTTGTCGAAGCAAAGAAAGACAGGAAAAGGGCAAGTCGAGCAAGAAGTTCGAGCAGTAGAAAAACCGCAGTCGCAGCAGCAGGAGAGAGAGCGGGATGGCAGCCGAGCCGAGATCGTCACAGGTGTGCCTTCCGGGGACCGGTGTGTGGGTGTGACGGTCTGAGGTAGAGGTACCACAACAGCTCTGTTTTTGCGGGTATCTCGTCCCAGTCTGTCACTCTTCGTTGGTTGCAAGGTAACGGCTTGTAAGTAGCAAGACTAATGAGAATGGTCAAAAGGCATGGATACCATCGGCCCCCGGCCAGTCTTGCCTCAAGGGGTTGCGGTTCCAGTCCCTTTTCCTCCGTCTCGGACCTCTCCTCGGCCTTTGCGCTTCTCGGGGCTCATTCTTCTGACTCTGATGAGTCCTTTTCATGATCCTATATCGGCGGGCTCTGGGCATTTTTTCCAGTCCTTGCTAAGAGATCTGGAGCTAGAGAAGGGTTTTGCGATATTTTTTACTCCAAATGTGACTCTGAGGACTCGGAGGAGCAACTATAGTAGACTCAGTTGTCGAAAGACTACCTTACGGTACACGCAAGTTCTTCGCGCAACCCGTCACATGACAAAAAAGCAATCCGACGCAAATCTTCTGCAGCAACTTTTCCGCTGCTTTCTATTGTCTCAGAACTACCGCCTGTGACCCTTTCCTGGGCCTTGGCCCGTCTCTGCTGTTTGCGGACCAATGCCAATTCGTCATCTGCTCTGAGAGGGAGCATGGGGAGCAATGCATGAAAGCAGTGTGATTGGAAGGGTTAATAGGGCCTTCGTCCTCAAGAACACAAAAGGTCTCCCTTGTCACGGATTTGTCCAGTCTTTCCTCCTCTCCCGAATCCCATGTCCTCCCACCACCCACCCCACATGTTGCCAGAGAGCTTCGTGCGGGGAAAGCAACCAAGAACATTCGAGACGAAACAGCATCCCAAAGTTGGTCACCAGACGATTTCGCGCACAGTCGATCGTTTCGTCTGTTGTCAACTTTGCTTGCTGCTCGCTCTGTTGTAGAGTTTTTTCTCGGATGGGGAAGTCCATGCTGTGGACCTCAACTTGAGATAAATGTAAATTTGATCTTATCAAAGTATAGGGATGGTAAAATAGGCGTTTTCTCGGCATCGTGTCACTTTGGGCTCGCGTGCGGAGTTTCTCCTGCCCGCAGCGACCCCCAAAATGGAACGCTTCAAGTAAAGTACGGATGCACAGCGGCTCAATCGCATTCGCAAAAGAAGCTGCATCACAACTTCACCCAGCTCACTGTGTAGTCAATCGTGTCAATCCATCACAGAGCCTCCTCACTTTCGGTGAACCAACCCCTGCGATAGCTTCAAGGAAAATCTTTTTGCTTTCCAACTGAGCCCCGCAATGACTGCTTTTCTTGCATACAGCGGAGCTGGACATGCTCCGATCTCGGTCGCACTAGGCCCGCAAACCCGACCTCCCGCGATAAGATCACAACGACCACCGAAGGAAGCACCGAGGTGTAGATCTTGTCCCGTCCCCTACCTTATATAAGCCATAAGTCACGTGTTCTTCAGCTTTTCCCAGATGGGCGTCCTGTCATCGAGCGCTGACAGCGTCAGCTCGAGGCATGCACGGTATCATTCCGTCCCTCGCGACCCGCGGAGGCTCGTGCATGTACGACCGACATTCGAGAATCAAGATCACCCTGTGCCTCCATCCCGTGTACGAACATACGAATGAAGTGCCCAAGTGACCGCAAGCCAGGCCCAGATATGCGCAGTTGTCATCAAAGGCGTGTAACTCTGGCCAAAAGGAGACACACACCCCTCTCTCTCTCTCTCTCTCTCTCTCTTTCTCTCTCCGCCCGCCTGACAGGAACGATGGAAACCTGCAATGCAACGACATATGGTCCTATTTGGCGTATTTTTGGGCGTCTAAACGGATATTTTCCCCTGCTTGTCAGATATCGATAGTTTGCAAAAGCACAATGCCACTGTGCCTCAGCTGAAATCGTTCAGTCTTCGTCAGACCTTGGCCTTGTCTTTCACTCTCTACCAATACCTGTCATTACCTACCTGGTATTAGCCCCGTACCCTTTTCGGTCTCGGACGAGAGGATGCAAGGCGTCCCGGTAATAGCAACCGAGAGACGGCGTGTATTTTGCTACCTTACCTTAGGTACCGTACCGCTGTCCGCTGCCGCTGTCACTGCCACACTTTTGCCCAGCCGTTTGTCTCAGTTGCATCTCACTACGTCTCACTTTCTCGACCTCTTCAGCCCTATCCCAAGAGGTTCTCTTCCGAACTTCCAAGCTTTCCATGCCACCCCCCTTCCCCTCCAGATCCTTCTCATCTCACTTTCCTTTCTTTTTTCTTCTCCAGGCTTTGAACGTTCCACAGAAACAAACCAAAAGGCGGGCATCTCGGTTGCAGTCGATCGGGGTAGTCGGTCAAAAAGTGTCATAACAACTCACACATTTGACCCTGTCGGCCCATCAATCCTTCCGTGCCTTCCTGCCTGCAACCACGACGGGGGGGGGGGAGGATCTTCAGTGCCGTTGTCCGATCCGACTTAGGTTTGTGACCTTTTCTTTCTCTCTCTATCCCACTTCCTGCCCGATGCCACCTCATCTTGCCTAACTACCTACGCCCTTTTGTCTTTGGGGTTTGGCAAAAGTTCCGGGGGTGCTTCCTCCCAGGTAACACGAAGCTGCCTTTACTGCTGGTAAACGAAACGCAGTCAGGGATACGGCACAAGAAGAACACCCATTAAACAGTAGTGATGTGATAGTGTGATGGTGACAATGACGAAAGATGATAAAACATCCTTCGCCAATGACTCACCAAGTCCAAAAGCCAAGCTATAACCCAAAGGAGGGAAAATCAAGAAAGTCCAGGGTGATTAACAACACGAAGCTAATGCACAGCAATCCTCACGACGTTTAGTTCTTTCCATGCCCCCCCCCCCCCCCCCCTCCACCCCCCGATCCGAAACCCGTATCCGCCATGCCACAGTTGCGCGCTAAACTGCTAAATACCAAAAACATCAGTCGAGTCGCGGAGTCGCGGAGTCGCTAAATAACTTATGGTTAAAAAAAAACCGAGGCCAAAGTCAGGTAGCGAGAAACTCGCGAGAAAAGCCACACCTTCCTCCTCTTTCTTGTTTCAACCTCTCGTACCGCCGAAAGTAAGTACACTATGGCTGTATGTAGCCTGCTTTATCCACTCATCAACTCGCATCCTCGCATGTCATGAGAGAGAGAGGGAAGTTAAAAAAATAAAAAATAAAAATAAAAAAGGGTCCTCCTCATGTTCACTGGTAACACAAAACCTCCTCAAGACATCACCGCCTCGTGACACGGAGTCTCGACTCTCTCGTCCCGTCGCCCACGCCTCTAATCCGCATAAACGCTTCAACACCCATTCGCCCAAAACTCTTTCCCTTGCAGCAAGGTCTCCATGCTGCTCCTCTCTTTTTTGAATTTTCCTGTTGAAAAACCTGTCTTCTAAACACTAAAGCAATGTCTGCCTAACTTTTTCACAAACCTTTTCGACTACGCCGTACACGTACACAGCATACCGCAGCCCCCTTTCCCCCCGCGCAAATCCTGAAATGCTCCGTCGGCGCGGTTAACGTGATGCCCGCCTAACGCGCGCAAACGGAACCCGTAATCCAGGCGCTTCGGCGATGAGCCAGGTCGCAGGCAGTCGAACTCGGCATTGGCACATTGGGCACATTGGCAGTGCTCTTATTGACATTGAAAGAGTGTACCTTCGTCTTGGTGTGACGTCAAATCAGATAACTCCGGACTCAACGCCGAGCTTTTTTGGTCTCACTGTCTCATCTCATCTACACTTAGGTAAGGTAGACAAACTGACTGAAAATATGTAAAGTAATATTATTATAATTCTCCCGTGAGCTGACGGGGTAACACAAACAAAACAAAAAGAGACATAAGAGAAGAAAAAAAGGCCCGAGGTAGTCCACGGTAAGAAAAGGACCATGCACGCAACCCCCCGAACTCATCATCCCATGCCCGCCTTCGTAGTTCTATGTATGCGCGTGTGTGTGTATGTACGTCCGTTCCACCGTCAGCAATTATGTACGGTAATCTGTCGATTCTAAGCCACCACCACCCGTCTCCCCGCACCCTGCAGCTTCCAATACAATATCCCCCTCCCCTCCCATGCCATCCATCCCACATCAATCGTGTCTCTTTCCAGTGAAACAAGCACCAAGAACGCCCTGCCCACCATCATCATCATCATCAGCATCACCCATTCCCACAAGGCTGTCTCGGTGACACGGTGTGACTATAGAGAACCAGAAGCCGCGTTTCACCGCATCCTTCTTCGTCCTCCGTACTCCGTCCTCCACCTCGACTGCCACCACCACCACCACATCCACGCCCGCTCTGCTCACCTTACCTTACCCTAAGCTACCGTTCGATTCGGCAGGGTGGACAAGATAAAGCTCGCCACGGCACAGTAGTGTAGCTTCCTTCCGCGCAGTAAAAGGCTTCCTTCCGTCATCCCTAAGCGAGACCTCCGTAGGGTAGGTGTAGGTGTAGGTGGGCTCATCTGATGTGCGTGCTTAGCTTCCCGCTCCCGTCAGCCGTGCGATGTATGTAGATGCATTTCGAAATCAGGGTATCTTTGTCTTTCTTGTCCCGTTTCTGCCTTTCCTCTCGATGGTTGAATGTCTTCGTGTTTCCTTGGGGCCGAATTCGTTATCGTCGTGTAATAGTGTAGTTTGTCGTAATGGTTCATCGTAGTCCGTCTCCTCCCCCCGTCCATGCCCCCCCCCCCTCCTCCCAAGAAAAGTAAGCTCCATGTCGTCCGCATCCATCCGGTTCGATCAGCCCAGCAAGGCCCCGTGCCGCAATGCGAGAGGACCGAGATGCCCGCCCCATATTAAACCATTACAACCACCTCTCATCGTCCCGAATATGCCTTGCGCCACACCTGCAAGCTGCCCCAATCGTCATATCAATCCGTTCTCTCGTCTCCATCCCACCCCCAGTCCCAAGACAATTGAGCCATAACAAGACAGGAAAAATAGGCACAGCCCCACCGCCATGCAGAAAACATAAGGAAAAGCGTCTCGCGACGTACAGCCGTCTATCGATCACCACACACCTTGTGGTAACACCAAGACCACTAGGACCGCTAGGCCCAACCACCCTTGCACCCTCCGGCCATGTGTACCCTGCTTTTTGTTGCCCTGCTTGCCCATTCAGAAGAGCGAATGGGTAGCCAAGTAGGCAAAGGTTCCCCAGGGCCCAACATCGTCAGATGTGCAGTGGTCAAAGCCACACAGCCTGCATAGACTTCTTCTCGAAGCCTTCCCACTCGGGTCAAGCCTGTCGACGAACAACAACCTCTTCCGCGAACCTCACACTCTGCTGCTCCACATGACCGCCTGGGACCATGCAGTCTATGCCCAATCGTATCTAGACTCAGTAGGTAACATCATGGCCTGTTGAGCTTAGGACGGACTGACTTCGCTGCGACTTTTGCTGGCCACCTATTCCGAAAGAGAAAGTGAGCTGCAACAAGGCCGAGTCGTGCCGGCGTGATTGGTCGTGCAACCCGACTCTATGGTTGCCAACGTCATAAGCTTGTATTGCCTCAGCCGCACTCTTGTCAGTGGGCCGAACCAAAGAAAGGGAGATGTGCTGCCGGGTCGCTAATAGCCAGCATGTCGTGTCGGGCGACGGCCGTGGCTCCTGTGCTCCGAAACCTGGGCTTCGTTTCGCCGTGTATGTTTACCGCCGTCTTCCTGTGGGGAAAAGCAACCGGGGCGTCGTCTTCCAAGCTCTTGCAGGTGCGTCTTCACCTCTAGGCATCAGCTTTATCCGTCCCTGTGGACCAATGGTGATCCGCCTGCGACGATGGGGCAGTGCCAACGATGACCCTCAATGCCAACCTCGCGCACGCTTGCGTTTGTCTTCACACGGGTTTTTGCACTTGGGGCAAACGTGGTCTGGATACGAGTTGACATCGACCCTTATCAAGCACTTTGAGCACCGCCACCATCGCGACGAAAGATTGCGCCCTTGGAGCCAGCTGTCATCCACGTGCGTGCCCCGCTTGAAAATGTCTTCGTTGTGATAGTCTCGCAGGTGGTCTCTGAAGTGGTCCCGTCGTCCGAACGGTTCGCTTCTCCGCGAGCACTTCGGGTAGTCGCACTTGTGAGCTTCCTTCTTTGACGGGTCCTGGTGGACTTGTCTATAATGCCTCTCGAGGTCGGCCTTGCGCTTGAAAGGGTTTGCTGTGCATCCCGCCTCAAGGCAGGGGAACTTGTAGTCTACGACTTCTTGCTGCTCTTGACCCCTGTGCACAGCATTGTTAGCACCGCTTAACCATCTCTGTCAGAGGCCTCCGCATTCACTGACCCTTGATGTGGTATCACTGTTGGATACTGCCCTGCAGGAACATATCGTGGTTTCATCTGCCAGTAGCCTCCGTCTTCGGTGGGAACGTAGTCATATTGCGACCAGTCAACGTCTCCGTAGTAGGGCTCAGACGCTTGTTGTGCCGAGGAAGAGGCAGTACTCGCATACTCGTCCGCGTAGTATCCTCCGTAGCTCTCGTCGTAGCCGTCGCCATAGTCGCCCGCGGGAGAGTGGCTCATGTTGTGCGAATACGAGTATGACATACCAGGCGAAGAGCCGTATGAAGATGGTGTAAGGGGACCTCGAGAGCTGACGTCGGAGGGCTGACGAGCAAGTTCCGGCGCCTCTAGAAAAGTAGGGGAGTCAAGGTAGTCTCCTGCCGAAACTGGAGACGTTGCGTTAACATGATAGCTTGCTCCGCGGTAGTAGTGGCTGTCCATCGTTTCTGACTTAACAAGTGAAACTGTCGAGCTGTCTAAACCGTTTGTATCCCGGCTTCTGGATAACAGTTCAGTAAGGGGAGGGTGGTCTCGTAAGGTTGGGGAAGCATACAATTTTTAAAAAGGAGAGTAGGCAGTAGCGAGGAATGCCGGGAGCCAAGGAAATTTTACGAACTTACATAAATGGGATGCCAGTGTCAGACTCGTGGGGGGGGGGGGGGGGGGGGGCGGGCTAGTTCCGGAGAGTCGAAAACGTGGCTCACACATAAATCCCCATGGAAATAAGGTAGCTTAGATTGTGGATAAGTAGAGGAGAGGCAAGAGCATTCGTCGTCGTGGGATTTATAGTCCAGAAAGGAGTGGAAGCCTGTTCGCCAAGTTGAACAGGGTGTGTGTTCGTCAAAGGGCAATCTTGAACAACACTAAAGTTCGAGCAGATGAAAGGTTCGTTGAAGTGATTCCCAGACTGTGTTCGCCTACAAGCTCACGAATTGGAGGGGGAAGTGGATGGTTCAAGTATGAGCGGGACAAGGCAAGTTCAAGTTTCACCGCCTTGGAGCTGGAAGGAGTAAAGGTGGCAGCGATACGTCAAGCGGCACAGATACACGAGCAGGCGGTAGAATGGGGTCATGGTAACCCACCAGCACAAGGCTTCAACCTCCGTAAGACGGGCTTGGCTATGGGGAGCCTCAAAAGAGCGGGCATATCAAACGTCGTAGAGCTACAGCAGCCCCCGGACCATTGCCGCGTAGGGTGAAGATGGGATAGAGTTGTCTTGGCCATACGGCGCGAAGCGAGGAAACAACTGCAAGTGCTGGGGTTTCTCCACCAACTTGGACGTCTGATCGAGTGAGAGGCGGTCCTCGGTGAGTGACATGCTTCTAGAAGGGGGCTTAGAACCGCCAGCCACCAGGTCGATGGATTCATGCGGGAAGACATGCATAACTGGCAACCTGGTCTACGTACAAACCGGCGAGATTCAAGATCAGGTCAGCCCAAGACCCGCCAGATACTCCCATGACGATGCACCCACCTATCACTCGACAGGGCTGGCGGCGGGGTGGTTAAAGAGCGCGGTGCATTCGAGGGGGCCTCAACGGCCGTTGACATTGAATCGAAAGGGGGGGCCAGTTCCGGCTGGGCAGTCAGCTCTGAGTTACCATGAGTGTTTTTGGGCCGACTTTCATTGGCAAAGGTACCGGAGACCCAAGACATGTCTGGCAGACCCAAAAGATGAATCGGGGCAGAGAAAGGCCCCATTACGGAAATGTTTCTGGTGGTCGGTTTGTACGGCACGGCAGGGTCAAGGACTCAAGGTCAGTCAATCCGGAGTTGGGGACTCGAGGTGTCGAGGTACCGCGTCTAGTGCAGGACCGGACAAGGGACTCGAAAAGAAGCCAGTAAGCTATGAACCCGACAAGTGCGAGGTATGTCATGGCATGGCGAAAGATTGTCGCTCAGTGGCATAGCAAATGGATGGTAGTAATTAGGGCGTTGTAGGGCTCGGGCTCGGGGCGGACTTGGCAGGATGCGATGCGGCTGTCGAGATAGACTGAAGATCGGAATCGCGGAGGAGAGGCTTGACTGGTAGAATATCTCGTTGCCTGGCCCCGCACTGCCACACTAGTGTGCGCGTGAACGCTCGCAGTCCCAGCCCTTGCTGCTGTGCAGGGTCCAAATGCTAGAGTGGAATCAGCCAAGAAACAATGGTACCGCAAATCATGAGTTCCTCACTGGTCCAATCGTAATCGGGTAGGTGAGGCCATAGTAAGCCTAGGGGGCGATTTGGAATCCAATGGAGTCTCTGGCATAGGACCCTCTGCCCAGCGAAGCGATTCCCCATCTAGGGCAGGCATTGGATCCGGAGTACCGTTGTACCTCGGTTGCTTTCGTGAGAGTGAGTTGCTGTGACGGCTCATTGATGGATTGTGTAGTGCTGCGCAGCGCAGTTGCAGTGCAGCCATTGTCACATCGAGGTATTCCATCGGGGGCCAATCCGCTGGATCCGCCGCAAAGCTGCATGTTGCCCACCAGAATAGCCTGAGACCTAGAAGGACTGATGAGTGATGGCCAACCAACCGAGCCGGTTCCGGGGCGATTTAAGGTCCGATATTCAGTCTCCTCGGACAGGTTGCCCCCTCTGAGCGTGTACCGACCGTGGACGGGGAAGGGTGGCACAGGCGGTGACGGCGATGATGACTCTGTAAGATGGTGAAGATTCATTTTTTCGCGCAAACGATACCTAGCGATGGTCAGGTGCCTCAAGCAAGATAGGGAGGTGCCATACGTTTCGCGCAGGGCTATGGAAGAACTAAGATGGGGTCTATGGGCATCGGGGGACCGCTTTCCATGTTTGCGAGGAGCCATGTCGGGAGATAGCGCGGGCGGGCTCCATGTCCGGCTGACGGTCGATGCAGGTTTGGTTCGGTGAAGCAAGTCAGAGAGGATACGTCGATACGAAAAGGTGCGTTTTTTCGTCATGCTAGTGTAACTCGAAGTCTGTTGGATCTTCAAAAAGGCGCATGTCGAATATCCATACGTAGCACTTCGTAGTAGCAGGATCCATTCTGATGGGCCCCTCTGCTCGGACGAGCCATTTTCTGGCGTAAGAAAACACGAAGGCCTGGTAGGCGATACTGTTGGAAGAGGGTTGAGCAAGTCGAGATGTGGATTCGTTCCAACGAGTTGGAGTCACTTAGAGAGGTGTTCGAGCCTCGTGGGTGGCCAGGAATGAGTTTGAGGAGTCGAGGAAAAGGTGGTGATCTGAATAAACCGCTCTGCCAACGGGTCTCTGCTGGGTCCTACCCTTGACGTTCGACTGGGTTCACGGTTGCTAGTTGGGAAGGAGGCAAGTTGGCAGGTCCGCGATGCGCCCGGGGGGAAGGAAAGGTGGGCCCCGATAACCTTCTAGAAGCCTTCCATCGCTTGTGCTGCGTCAACGTGCAAGCCTGCAAGGCCCTGTCAATGTCGGAAGGTGGTGGTGCATCATGACCCTCCATTGGGCCTGCCCCCTGCCCCACCACCTACCTTAACCTTACCTTCTCACGTTCCACCCTCTCGACACTCTCGGCACGCTGTGACGCTCTACCTTAATACCTACGCGTGCTACGGTCTACCTACCTCCTATGGAATAAGGTAGATTTGAGATACCATGTCAACATTGGATGTTCCCTTTACACCTGGCGAATCATCACTACCTTAGCAACTAGGTAGGTAAGCACGCAGATGAGAGACTGCCGCTTTGCCGCCGTCGACACTCTTACGTTGCTCTTCTCTCCCCTGCACCTACATGTGTCGACCGGGACGCTTCAACACCACTGGCTACCCTTACTGGCCCTGGCCCGTCCAGTCATTTCGCTTCATACCGACGTGCCTCATACCTCCTGGCCATTTTCGCCCGGCTTGTGATAAGAGAAGTGGCGGAGTTATTTATTGCAGAATGTCGATGGTTTGCGCTGGCAGGAAAGCTTGGTTGCAACCCTCCATAGTCCCAAGCTTCGTCATTGTCGCCTCAGCCCTGGCGTTGATTTGGCCATTCGGAACATCCACCGGCACATCCATAACCCAATTCGTCCTGGGTGGTCAGTAGGTACGTCCAAGACTTGGAGAATCGCGGGGGACAAGGTATTCGCCAACCCACCAGCAGGCGGCTATGTTCTGTGTCACGCAGAGACGGATCCACACGGGGCAGCTGTCGGGGTGGCCGGAGCTTCCATGGAACCTGTAGGTTGGTCTTCTCGACTTATTTCGGCCGAGCCTGGATCCGGGCGCCGGGGTGCACGCCGCCATCGACTCCCTCCCCCAGCTCTCATAGTGTCCAGGAAGGTAGTTGTATGGAGTACCTTGCGGAAACAGGCCATTCCCGACAGGGCCAGAACACGCTGCACCTACCGGGATCTTATTTTGCCTTTATGCTGACCGCCGAGGACAGGGTCCCTGATATCAGGACAGGGCAAACGGCCTTGGCGTGCCGAAAGTGCTCAATCAAAGGTCACGCGCGTTGCGAATGGGTTCTTATGTCTTCATGTGCAAAAGCCGAACTGAGGTGGCCTGTAGCCTCCCCTTTTCCATAGCCAGTCAATAGTCAGTGTACTTCAACAAAGATGAGCCAGATAGACCTTGGCTGTATGTTTCCGCAAAAAGAGGCAACGCCGTTCCTCCCGATACCGATGGTTCGAGGCCCCCATCCCAATCCGAGGCATACGCCTGGCATGAAACCCTGTGAACCTTGCTGCCCATTCATACATCGTCCTCAAGGAATTTGTACGCGAACTTGAAGTCCGCCTTTCTGCGGTTCATCCTGCCCGTCGAGTTAGCTTAATTGCCTCAGTCTAACGTCTTGAAGCAAAATGACTCACCATGTGCTTTCGTAGTCGAAAAAGCGGTATGTGCCCTGCTCGAATTCTTCGGTGATGTTCTTTGGCTCTTCGTGGCGCTGGAACCAGGTTTGATATTGCTTGTGGAACCGCCAGCTCTGGTCTTTCAAGGCTTTGGCCGCAAGATATTGCTGAGGCGTGCCTTGCTTGTAGTAGAAGACGTAGAAAAGCGTATCCGGGTCAATACGTGAGTATAGCCGCGGGTCATCAAACAAAGGAAGCGGCTCCTGAGGAAAGCCAACGCCGGTCGATGTCAATCGCAAGTCGGGACGGTACGTTCTGGGTACGTCTGCATCCATAATGTCGGGGCATGTGGCCTGACTCGTCTGAAGCATGCGTTGCGTGGATGGCGAGTTGAAAGGCGCCGGGCGCTTGCGGGAAGCTTCAAAGGACTCGACGAGGTCTTGCAGAGATGACGGGAGGTGATATATAGACTCTTCCTCCTCTGCTGTAGGTTTGACTCCATTCGTGGCACCGTTTGTTTGAGATGCTAAAGAACATTAGTAAACCATGAAAGTGGTCACGATAGTGGGCAGACTTACCTTTCGCTGCTCCTGAAGCACTTGCCGCAGCCTGCTCCTTTTTCGCACGCTTCTCTGCCTTGGTAGGGGCCGAGACGGCCTTAGCGCTTGGGGTTGTGCTTGTGCTTGCGTTTGCGCTGGCGCTTGGGTTTGCGATTGGCGGTTCGGTTGCGGTTGTTGATGGTGCTGGGGGTTGCTTGGGTTCGGGCTCCTTTGCTGCGACAGGATGTGCTGATGTCGTTGCAGGTGAGCTTGTTGCGCTGGTTTTTGACTGCGACCCTGGGGTATTGGCAGTGACGGGTGCTGCGCCTGGTGGAGGGGGCAAGGGAGAGATGCCAATCTTGTCTGACGCTGCCGCAGCGGCCGCTGCAGATGCGTATTTGAGGCCTTCCGCAGGTCTTGCGGGGGCCACCGCTGGCTTCATCGTAGGACCAATTGCTGCGCCATTGCCAATGATAGTCGGCATATGTAAGGTGGCTAGCGCAGGCAGTGGGGACTTGTTCTGTGAGCTCGATCTGCGTCCCGAAGCAGATGCCTCTGCTACCGCCTTGGGCTTCGGGGGAGCTTTGATGATTTCTGGCTCGGGTGTCGGTTCCTCCGCTATTGACTGAGCGTCTTGCGATGAGCCCTTGTCGCCATCTGCAGGTACGCCGAATGCGCCCTCGTCCTCGTCCAGAGCGAGCTCTTCGTACATCTCCTCGTCCTCGACAAAGTCATCATTCATGCCATCTGAGACGTAATATCGAATCGTCTCTTCCAGATCGGTAACCTGATCCGTGTCGACTCCGCCGTTCTCTAGAGATCTTCGAATAAGCTCCAGTTTGCCCTGATGCCACTTGTGACGTTCGATGATGCGCTCGATCTCGGCCATTCGTTCCGCCTTGGCAGTTTGGCTCTTGCCCTTCTTCATCGTCGCTTGTATCGCTTCGGCCTCGGCTTCTAGGGTTTCGATTTGTTGCTCGAGTTCGTCAACCATGCTATTTAGGAAGTCGCTTGCCTCGGCTTTGGCTTGTTCTTGGGGATCGAGCTTGGCTGAAGAGGCTAACCCTTCCTTGGAGTATGCCTTGGTCTTCATAGCCTTCTCTACGGCCTTGAACTTCTCCATTTGCTGCAAAGGGGGGTTAGCGGGACCGCGGGGAAGAGCTGCGACCGGGGAGTCGGTAGACCAACCGTTTCGATCAACCTTCGATGCTCCAGCAAAGGAGACTTGTCCTTGATGTCGTTGCTTGCTGCCCATGTCTTGATCTGATCGCGTAGTCTCTGGAGCTTCTTGATTTCGCGCTTGAGGTTGTCCTCTAGCTTCTCTTTTTGGGAGATGTTGTTGGACTGCTCAATCTTTTCGTATATGGCCTCGAACTCGGCAACGCCTTCCGACACCTTTTTGAAGCACTTGTCGACTTCTTGTTGGAGTTTGCGTGCCGCCATCTTGTCGGGTTGTGTGTGTGGCCGAGATGAAAATGCTGAGCCGAATTACGTGTCTCGATACCGACGGGTTGGGTTCGTCGGTTGTGTCAGGTGTGTCGTGATTGACGCTGGTTTTCAGTGAGCTGTGCTCGTGTCGCAGACGGCCGTCGAAGGAGTGATGGGCGCGATGTGGGTGGATGGATGGGGAGTTTGTCCCTCGCGTGACGACTGCTACGCCGTGTTGACCGGCGTTCGTTGGTTGCGCAATACAGGTTTGCTTGCCGGGAGTGAGGCGTTTGATGGGTTGAGGATGCGCGCATGCAGAAGAAAGAGCTGGGTGGAGGATGCTGTGTGGAGGATGCTGTGTGGGAGGTGAAGGTTGCAGGTACCTGAAGACCGATAGAGAGTGAAGCATGGGGAGGTTACAAGTAGGTATTCTCAAGGCTAAAACCAAGACTGTGTGACATTTTGAATTCCTAGGTGACGTAATTAATGATTTGGTACTTATCTATAGTCACTTTCACAATTGAATATCTCATATAGGGAGTATAGAAGCATGCAAGGCCAAACCACGTTTCTTTCTGTCTATCTGGGCGAAGTTTAGGCTACTTAGACGTCGTCACTGAAATTGACACGGACCACTGCTGAGCCCAGCCTTGCCAGCTGCCCTTTTCCGCCGTGTTCAGGGATGCAAGACTGCCCATTCTGTAAGGTATTATTACCGGTAATTCAAATCAGGGAAGGCAATGTGCTAGTGGCATTGGTTTTGCTCTGAATCCAAGGAATTTTGAAGCAATATCTGAGGGCTGATAGACAAAAGCGCTTACGACTTGCCAGGCCAAGTACCGGTCTGTTGATTGCTTCGCTTCCGTGTGGTTTGCCGCCCGTTTGCCTGTTTGTTCCCGCCGCGCTCGGCTTGTAGCTTGCAATTTCCCGGGCGATACGAATACAGACCACTCAGTGGTCTCTAGCTGCTCCGTTTGTGTTTGGACTTCATCCTCGTCCGGGTAATAGTATCGGAAGGATCCACGTTCCGGTCTATCGACCGTGTTTGAAGAGCTTTTCACTGCTTGTTATTCTTGGTACCTGTGTATCAGATTACTCCGCTGTATCGCCTCCGACATTTGCAGTGGTGCAGTGCAAAATGAAAGGTGAGACCACCGTCTCCTCACTGAGTGAACTACTGCATGGTGATGTGAGATGCTGATGCCTCCTAGCTATCGTACAGCGGGTGCTGTCTGGGTCAGTGACCGTGGACAACGAAGTGATTTCCTCCATTGGAAAGGGACTTCTTGTTCTTGCTGCTGTGGCTCCCGAAGATACAGAGAAAGATGCCGAGAACCTAGCAAACAAAGTGTTGAAGCTCAGAATGTGGGACGATGATGCCGGCGCAAGGGTGCGTTTGATCAAATCCCGAATGTTCCAATACTTGCATCTAATCTTGTCTTAGTGGAAGAAGGCAGTCCCGGACATTGACGGAGAAATCCTCTGCGGTATGTAGGCTGCCGTGACGGGCTCCTGACGAGCTTTCTTCAGACAACTGATAACCCTCACAGTGTCTCAATTCACACTTTTCGCCAAGATCGTCAAGAACAAGCCGGATTTCCGCCTCAGCGCAGGAGCCGAGGATGCTAAAAGGCTCTACCACCATTTCTTGCAAAAGTTGCAGGATAGCTACGCGGCCGAAAAGGTCAAGGATGGGCGCTTCCAGGCTATGATGGCCGTGGCTTCTGTCAATGATGGACCGGTTTGTGACCCTTGAAGCCACTGACAACTGGTGATTGCGTACTAATTTGAGCCTTTAGGTCACGTTTGAGCTCAACACAGAGTCGGCCCCCAAGCCATGATCATTTTCAAGAGCTTTCGAATGCCATGTGCCATGACCTATTCAGTGTCACTGACATAAGTCGGGTGTTGGCTTGAGCGAAACCAAGATACACCATGAATGCAACTCGGATTTCGTTCGTTGGAAGTCTCAAGAAGTGATGGCAAATAGCAACGGACCGTCTCTTGGGTCCCTTGCAGTCAAATAAAGATCTGAATGGTTGCAATTCCATGCCTTATACATAGAACTCTACGCATAGATGCAACTACGATAGAAAGGCCTGCCATTTTGGTGATACCTCAGAATGCAGGCAGAGACATTGCAGCTCATTTGCACCAAGGCTGCCTGCTTCAGCTGCATATCTTACTTCGGCTCTATGTTTCCGTTTGCCTCACGTTGTCCCTTCGGCCTCACATGAGGTGCCGCAACTTACTAGGCACCTAAGAGAAAGTCGATAACAGGGCAGGAAAGAGACATCGGTAGAACAGAATCCTCTGATTGGCCTACTCCGAAGCTGTTGCTCCTTCCCGGTGAAGCATGCAGGCAGTGAGATGCAGCGGGTGGTGCGACTGCCCCGCGCCCAAACGTCCGAGCTACCAGAAAGTTCCATCGTACCTCCCCCCCACCTTCCAGGTTAGCTCTGGGCTGAAGCATTTATCGTTCACCTCCACCACCAGCGTTCTGCAGACGAAGCTATACTACCTTACCCTAGGTACTTTTCTCGACTCAATCGTATGAACAACACTTCTCACGTTCAACGTGAACAAACCATAGCTTCCTGCTAGCTTCGACCCAATCATCGACAGCATACCAGTCTCGCGAATCTCATTTGCGGCAGCCACATCTACCCCGCACTACTGGATCGAGTACAGATTCCCAGCCTGATCAATCTCCGAGAGTTCAATTCGTACTTCAGAACGCAGTCACAATGTCCGCCGAGGGAACCGAGAACAAGGCGGCGCGCTCGCGCGTGTTCTTCGATATTACAGTCGGCGGTAAGTCCGCTGGCCGCGTTACCATGGAGCTCTACAATGACCTCGTCCCCAAGACGGCCGAGAACTTCCGCTGCCTCTGCACCGGTGAGAAGGGCCTGGGCAAGTCCGGCAAGCCTTTGCACTACAAGGGCTCCATCTTCCACCGCGTTATCAAGCAGTTCATGATCCAGGGCGGCGACTTCACCGAGGGCAATGGCACTGGCGGCGAGTCCATCTACGGAGCAAAGTTCGAGGACGAGGCTTTCCCTAAGAAGCATGACCGTCCCTTCCTCCTGTCCATGGCTAATGCTGGACCTAGTAAGTGCTCTACGATGACTGGTATTTGGGAAGCTTTTGCTGATAAAACTACGAACAGACACCAACGGCTCTCAGTTCTTCCTCACCACCGTCCCGACGCCTCATCTCGACAACAAGCATGTCGTTTTTGGCGAAGTCCTCAACGGCAAGTCCGTCGTCCGCCAGATCGAGAACCTCCAGACCGAGTCGGGCGACAAGCCCCTCAAGGACGCCATCATCGCAGACTGCGGCGAATTGACCGGAGACGCCGCTCTCGCAGCCGACGTGAAGGCCCCGGACGCCATGGGCGACACCTACGAGGACTTCCCTGAGGACTGTGCAACCCCGCCTGACGCCCAGGAAGTCATCAAGATTGCTGCCGCCTGCAAGGACTACGGCAACAAGGCTTTCAAGACCGGCGACTTCAACCTCGGTCTCGAGAAGTACCAGAAGGGTCTCCGCTACATCAACGAGGAGCCCGACCTGGAGAAGGAGCCCGCTTCTACCAAGGCGGAACTCCAAGCTCTCCGCTTCACCCTGAACAACAACTCAGCTTTGCTCAATATCAAGCTCGAGGCCTGGGATGATGCCGCGAAGACGGCTACGTACGCTCTCGATGTTGCCGGAACCAAGGACACCGACCGCGCCAAGGCCCTCTACCGCCGCGGCTTCGCCAATGTTCGCCTCAAGGATGAGGAGAACGCCATCAAGGATCTTGAAGAGGCGCACAAGCTCGTGCCGGATGATAAGGTCATTCTCCACGAGCTTAATGCCATCAAGCAGAAGGCGGCAGCCCGTGCGGCCAAGGAGAAGGCGGCCTACAAGAAGTTCTTCCAATAGATGGAGGCACTCAGAAAGGGCGTAACACGTCGCATATCGTACCGGGGACTGTATCGGAATTCACGGCAAAGACGATGTGTGACCCTGATGGCATGAGGCAGGGAGCGAAGACTGGTGGATGACGATTATGATCTGGGCTACTAAAAACAAGGGAATTCTCTTAATTCATTGAAACATTGGGGCGTACAGAGAAGCAGGCACTGGAAAACACAAGAAAATTCACGGGTAGATACCTCGACTGAAAGTTCAATATCATTATATTATACACATTGCTCGTTTCGTTTTGTTCTAAAAGGGACGGGATGTATGCTGTGACGAGTCTCGCGGCGTGATTATGAGGCAAGACATGTAAATGCTAGTCATGATATGTCTGGGTATATTCATTCGTGGCCCATGGTGCGACGGCTACCTACCCTACAACCAACTCAGAAGAAAGTTGGCAAGGAAGAAGAGACGAACACGGGATGGGTTGGGTGTAAGAAGAAAGAGAAAACAAATAGGGCCGACCCTCCCTCCAACCGAATGCCTGAACATGTAGAAAGGAACCTTCCCAAGCAGGCTCCGTTGATGAACATGTGCAAATGGAGAAACGCCAGAGGTAGTTCAGTCGATCCTTGCCCACCCAAGCCTGCCCTCAATTACGGCGCAGGTAACAGTAATGCAGAAGAGGTGCTGCCCTCCCGCACCCTCTTGACGCTCCAAGCTGGGCGTATCCAGATATCCTCCTCGTTAAGAATGCAGAGACTTTGACTCGTCGTTCAGCCATTGACTTTTTTTGGTTTTGATTCGTGTGCGAATGTGTGGAAGTAGTGATGAACAAAGAAAAATGAATGGGAAATAAGGCGTATCAATAGCCAGTGTTCCATGATCGGTCGAGATTCTTGCCACGTGTCGTTGATGGAGACGACTCAGGCGAGTCACTCCGCGCGAACGGCTTCATAATGCCAGACAGAATGTGACGGGTAGCCCTGCCATTCCGCTTGAGCGTAGCTAAATGCGAAGACGCGTGCTCGGAGTGTCCAGACGCTTGCCGCAGGGAGCTGAACTCTCGGCCACGGCGATGCTCGCGGCTTCTTCGCGTAGGCACATCGATCAACACGTCGCTACCAGCCGACCCTGGAGGTTGGTAATTGTCTTGGTCAAGCCAAACTGTAGAAGTGTTCGCCGAGGTCGGTGTTGAGTGGTTGTTGTGATGCGTGGAAAGGCTCATGGAATCCAATACAGCGGAGTTGTGCTCCATAGCGTCGGCGAAATCGGAGGCAGGAAGGGACGCTGTCTCATGAGAAGACCCGTCCATTTTCGAATAGCATAAGTCTGCACGCTCCTGCAAGACCAAGCACATTTCATTGAAGATGAGGATGTCATCTTCGCCGCCTACCGGTTTGACTACCTCTCCGTTTCCGATAGGGTTAGCTTCGGTCCACATCCTGACCAGTGCTGCGAAATTACGAGCGTGGTCAATCAAGTGAGGCAGTGCAGGGAATCCTTCTCGTGCCGTTGGCGAAAGCCGTCCAAGAATTGCAATAGGGGTCGAGTAGGATGGACCCAGGGCGACCTTGTTGCGTTCAACAGGAATGGCACAGATCATGTCAATGTAGTCCTTTACTGACTGACGATTGGAACCCAGGAACTTGTTCATCGGCTCCATCCATTCTTCCTTCTTGCCAAACGTAGACAGGTTTCCAAGGGCCTGAAGTGCCTTGGCAACCAATGTGAGCGTTCGCTGGGCTCGGGGTCTAGGGTGTTCCCTCAATAGACCAAAGAGTTTGGGACTCAAAATCGCCGGGCAAATGAAGCGGAGGAACAAGAAACCCGACACGCTTGTGTATGTGACGGTTCGCAGCCAGTCGCCGTAGCGATCTTCAGCCACGGCTCGTACGTATTTGAGGATTGACCGAAGCTCCGGTGGGCATTTCGTGGGCTCCTTGCAAATGCATTGCCAAACCTCAGTTGTCAGCTGTATGAGTCTTGTCCAATGCTCCTGGATGTTTTCGCCAGGTTTGAGCTTGCTCGGGTCGACTTCGCAGTTGGGATTGGTCTCGTTGATCTCGAAAATCTTGGCTTGCAACATCTGCTCAAGATACTCCTTTCCTGACCGTCTCATGTGAAATTCGAGAGCTTGCGTCAGCAGCGTGTTGCCTCGGAACAACAGATTGGCCTCTCCTGCAAGAGATTTGCCCATGTCGCGAAGAATCTGCTCTCTGTCACTGGATGACTCCATGGACTCATTTGACTTCAAGCGACTGCTGAATCGGTACTTCTTCATCTGATTTTGGCTGCCGCCAATGCCGTCGATCTCATCTTCGACCAACGTTTGCAGCCATTCGTTGGCATGACCAGACACTTGGAAGATATTCAAGAAAATTTCGGACAGACGACGCAGATTGCCAGGAAGTGCATCAGCAATCTGAGCGGTGAGACCGGAAGGAAAGCTATGAAGCAAAGTTGACAGCGCCTGGTATTCCTTGGAATGGAGAACAACAAGCTCCTCGTGGTGGAGCTTCACAAGCATTGTGCCCATGACTTGCTGTCGCTCGTCATATATCTCAAGCCACCGCTCAAAGTCTTTGCCGGGTTCAACATGGTCCAGGGGAATGTCGACAGAGCCACAGAGAATCTCGGTCAGGTTTCCAGTCTTGGGCAAACCAAGTGATGCCTGAAGCTGGTGACTGAAACTTTCCAGGTTCCCATCCACTCTTTTCAGAATGATGGAAAGGAACGGCATGGTTGGAGGAAGGTCCGAAAACTGGTAATCTTCCCGCCAAAAGGGGTTCTTGGTTCCAGTCTTAATCGTTGATCGAGCGCGGACCTCGCCATCCAGTATGACTTCTGTCAGGTAGCTACCCATCAAAGGGTCTGCGTCCTTGGGCTGTCGATCGATGAAGCCAACGTCGGGAGAGCAAGTCTTGGGTTTCAGTTTTGCCTCCGTCACCCGCAAACTGATTGTCTTCTCGATCCTGAATAACTCGCCGGAAAGCTCTGACTCCAAGTCCGTGACCTCCAACGCTCCGTCGGCTGAAGGCGAGTCCAGTCGGAAAATGTCCGGCAGGGCGAATGCTCGAAGAAGGACAAACCACACTTCGAACAATAGGCGGTTGTCCAGGGCGATGTACACGGGACGGAATATGGAAAGCTGAGTAGATATCGGAGAGTAGTGTGGAAAGATGCCAATGCAGTACTCCTCGTCCAAAACTGACCGGTTCAGTTGTTGAATAGCGCATCGAGATAATTGAGATAGTTCGACCACGGCTATGACAGCCTCGCCATCTCTTGTAGTGAGTCGGACCTCTCCGTTTTCTTGAAGGAGCAGGGAAACAACCCGCCAAGAAGTGGTTGGCGACCTCAGATCCCTCGTGGAAGGTCTTTTCACAATAGCCCTCGGCGAGTTTGC